AGTAAAACACAGGATTTTATTCCAGCAACAAAATTCATGTATTGTTGAGAGCGTTTCTCACTGTAAAAGTGTTATGTAGGAATATTTAAAGTGTTTTCATAAACAGTTGTGTAACTAAAAAAAAAAAAAATTTGTGAAAAGTATTTCAGATAAAATTCAAAATAGAGGCTTTTAAAACGATACTACTAGAAATAGTCAAACGACAAGATGAACAGCAAAAAACGGTATGAACAAAAAATCGAAAACTTGTTGAAATGTTGGTAGAACAACGGAAAATGTTCATGAGAACAGATATCCAAAAGACGCTATTGTAAATTGTGATTGCTGAATTTCACTATATGCCAGAAGAGGAGATTACTTTTTTGTTGTATTTCTGTAGACAAGAAAACCTGTACAAAACAGACTGTACATACTGGTCCGATAACAAAAAGGTCAGACTTTTGCTAAGGAAACTAGGCACTGTTGAACACACTAAGTTCATAAATTACATATTACTAAAGAAAAATGGTGAGCTAACATTTAAACAAACAGTTACTTTGTTTTTGGAAGTTTTCAGCCCAAAGACGTCTTTGTTCCATGAAAGATGGAAATGTATGAATTTAGTGAAAAACGAAAATGATTTCACAACATTCGCGAGCATTGTGAACGAAAATCATGAGAAGTTCAAACTGGCAGAATTAAGGCCTGACAATTCTTAATGCCTGATATTTGTTTAACGGTTGGCGTCAACAAAAGATCAAAAGATGCTGAAATCCGGAGAAGGATTTTAAATAAACTGAAAAACGAAACCAATCTAACTTTGCAAACCTTGCAGAAGACTGTCAGAAATTTATAAATGTTTTTCAAGATGTCAAAGATATTCAAATAAGCGGCGTGTAGCACATTAAGAAGTGTTTCAGAAACATAAGGTGGAGAAGGAAAAAACATTTCTCTAATCCCTGTTATGCATGTGGAGAATTACACTGGTATAAGGACTGTCCTTACAAAAAGAGTCTTTTTGGTGCAGAAAAAAAGGACACAAAACAACTCACTGTAAGACAAAATTTAAAAAACAAGTGAGGAATTACATTAAAATTACTAATATGGATAAATCTGCTATAACAAAATTTGTGCAGATAAAAATCCTGAACAAAAGTGTCAAATTGCAACTGCATGGTGGATTTGATTAAAGTATAATAAATGTTTATACATGGAGAAAATTGGGTAAACCAACATTAATGGTTACCAAAGAAATGGCTCGTTATAGGACAGAAAATAAAATTTGAAGGCAAATGTAATGTTAAATGATAAAACCTTGAAGTTAAGACTTTTTGTCATGAAAAATACGAATAACCTTTTTGGAACAGACTGGACGGAGCAGTTTAATTTACGGAACAGTTTAATCAATTCATTCTACCAAAAAGTAAAAGGTTTTACTAATGAAGTAGAAAGTTTAAAAGAAGAATTAAAAATTAAATTCCCAGATGTATTTTCTGGTGGCTTAGCCAAGTGCAAGAAAATGAAAGCTAAATTCGAACTAAAACAAAATGTACAACCTGTTTTCAAAAAGAAAAAGAATGTACCATTTGCTTCGCTAAAACAAATTGATGATGAGTTTGATAGACTTAAAAAAAAATGGGTGTTTTAAAGAAAGGTTAGCGTCAGGCTTGTTTTTGACACACTATGATCAAAAAAAAAAGAAGAAAAAAAGAAATAATTGTAGCAAGTGACACTAGTGTGTACGGTATAGGAGTCTGCATTATGCATAAACTTGAAGACGGCTTGATTAAACCTATTGCACACGCATCTAGTATGTTTACCAGTCCCAAAAATTTATTCTGTGATAGAAAAGGAAAATTTAGGGATTGTCTTTGCTCTGAAAAAATTTCACAGATTCATTCATGGAAGAAGGTTTACTTTACAAACAGATTACAGACCCCGTTGATAGCTATTTATAGGTACAAAAAAAGGACTACCGACTCTTACAGCTAATAGGTTACAACGATGGGGAACCATTTTACTAAATCATGACTTTAGGATGGAATTCTTGCCATCGTGTAATTTAAGTCATGCGGACAGATTGTCCAGACTTATTCCAAGAAATAATTAACATTTGGAAGACATGGTTATTGCTTCTCTACAATCGGAAGTAAAGATAAAAAATATACTATGCAATACTGTGCAGCAACTACCTGAGATGGTGGAAGAAATAAAAAGTAAAGCATTAGATGACAAGTTTATTATTGAAATGAAGAAAAAAACTAAAAGACAAAAGTAAAACAGAATCCAAGGTATATTCAATTTTACAGTGAAAGAGTCATGGTACCTTTGGCACTACAAAAATGAATCCTGAAAGAATTATATGCAGAACACCCTGGTATATCCAAAATGAAAAGGTTAATGAGAAGTTATGTATACTGGTGTAGCATGAATAGAGACATTGAATGTTTGGTAAAGTCGTGTAAAGGCTGTGCTTTGGCAGCTAAAGCACCACCAATTAAGTTCAATCCATGACTAGAAACTGACCACCCATGGTCACATCTGAATATTAACTTTGATGGTCCATTTAATGGGACATTTTATCTGATCATCGTAGACAGTTTTTCCAAATGGCCAGAGATATTCAGATGTATAAAACCAACCACACAAGTAGTAATTCAGTTTCTACACAAACTGTTTGCAAAGTTCGGAGTACCAGATTCTATTGTTTGGGATAATGGCACTCAATTTACATCAAAAGAATTCAAGGAATTTTGCAAAATGTTTGTGGTAGAGCACATAACAATTGCCATCTTAGAAGTAACAGCCTGGCAGAGCATTTTGTGGATACCTTCAAAAGGGCTCGAAAAAAAGCCAACTGTGGATCCACAGATGCAGCATTGCAGCAGTTTTTATAGGCTTACACCAAACAGAAAATGCACCTTTGGCCATGACTCTGGCAGAAATTGTGTTTGTGTGGAAAGTGAGAGGTTTTTGACAAGCTGATACCCAATAAGAAAAAACATGAGTACAAAAAGCTGGAAAGAAATTTTACAAAATTGGTCAAAAGGTTTTTTACTGGATGAATCAGACAAATAAGACATATTGGGAACTATTGTCTGAAGAATCGGCAGGATGGTGTATCTAGTCAAAGTACCAGAAATGGTGTACAAAAGGCACTATAATCAAATAAAAAGTAGGTATTCAAGTGAAGAGAACAATACTCCAGATGAGGTTGAATCTATGGAGGTTCTTTTTGATGCATTCAATGTACACCATCCCTCAGAAAGCTCCTGAGATAGAAATTCAAAAGACATAGTAAGAGAAAAAGGGGGGATACAGAAAGGATCAAAATCAATCCAAAAAGAAAAAAAATATTGACTGTACAGAGTAAATGCAAAAAGCAGGGGGTGTTATACTATACCTATAGACTATAATAGGTATGTCTCAGTCCGTATAAATACAGTAGAATATACTGTATGTGGTAGTCATTTGGATTCACTTGGGTTTCACCTTCATTCACTTCTAGCTCACCACTAGTCGTTGATTACTTACTGCTAGTGAATCTTGTATGTTGTTCCTCTTTTAAATATTATCATTCCATTTCCAACTTTCATTTTGGTTATTCTTATTCAGTAACTTTTCCTAGGTTACAATATTAATATTAAGCTACATTTTAAGGTGAAATGTGAAAGAAATTAAAAGAACAGAAGATAAATTTAATCTTAAATAAAAGATGGTCAAATATTTATGAAGTTTTCAGATTGACCATTTAGATTTTAAGAAAAACATTGCAATCAATATTTCACTTACTTTTTACTTGATGGAATAAAAGCTCAGAAGTTTTGTTTCTGTTATTTTGATTTTGGGACATAAATGTATAATTCTTAATAAACCTGAGTAGGCAAAATATAACCTGGGGACATATGTGTATTCTTTTTGGTGAAAGTAAGTTATATGTGCCAAGTATTTGACCTTTTTATTTTATCAGAAATATTGACATTGATAAAAGTTAGTGATAAAATCACCTTTTTAGAGTTGCAGTTAAAAAAATTACACTTGTAACTAAGAAGAAAAAAATAGATTTTTAAATCAATATTTAGTTAATGATCTGAATTAATCAGAAATAAATTGTGTATTAGAAGATACATTCCCAGTAGCAAATATGCATGTTATTGATCTACACTAAGGTTTCTTCAGTTATTTTGTCACACTTACCTTCGAGGCATAATGAAATGGCAATATGCTCCACTGCCGTCAATCACATATGTAATCTTTTAACTTTTATAAAATACTTGACATGTTGTTTTGGTGGAGTTTGTAAAGATTAATACTGTATGTTATGTGGGGATTATGAAGATGCTTACAAAGAAATGTATTAATGCTTTTGTTATCTAATATTAACATAAAGTCAGCATTAGTTATGTCCTGTAATTGTTTTCCATATTTAAGACCCAATTGAAAGGTTCTTCAAATAATAAGGCTATAATTTCAAATCGTTACTTGAGTCCATTGATACAACTTATTTTGTTCCAAACAATGTTGTGTCATCTTATTTGAGTGGAAAGAATAAAATAACAATTCTGTTTATTCAAGAAATTGGTTAGCAGATGAAACACTTAAATTCTAAATTAAACTAATGCAAGAATATCCTAGAGCATCTTGTTTCTCCTCCACATGAAAGCTCTCATTTGCACAGATTGACAACAAACCCTCTGAAGGAGCTAATGTATAAAAGATGAAGAGAATTAACAATGATAGCTGTAAATTAGAAGCAAGCAAACTTTCTTAGGAACGTAATTAGCTGAAAAGGATTCCTTCAACCCACTCTCAAGTTTGTTTTCCTGGGATAAAATCATTTAACTACCTATATGGTATTTATAGTACACAGGTGCAGTCACCTATGTACTGCCCATTCAATTATGTGGATATACTCACATTCTTAGTGATGTCCCTGTTCTTTCACCTAGATAGAAATGAATATCTATATCTGTTTATAAATATATACACACACACACATTATATAAAAAGCATATTTTCTCATGAACACTTTGAAAGTCTTTGTTGCTCAGTTCCCATCACTCTGTTCCATTATCACATTTAAACTAACCTTGTATTTTTCTCAACCCACACTGCTTCTCTTGCTCTGTCAAACAAGATCCTTCTGTCTAGATCATTCTCTTTCAAAGCAGCTTTGTCTCTTTCTGACCCCTCCCTCAGCTATGTCTATCTCTCTGCCCCTTAAATCTATTTTGTATATTTCTCTTTCCCTCTTCCTCAATTGTTGCTTCTGTTTCAATCTTTTTCTCCCTTTCTCAAACAAATTTTGTCTACTTCTTTCCCTCTTTCATTTCTTCAAACACATTTTTTTTTTAAAGCCACTAAAAAGCAGAGGGTTACAGAGAGTGAAAATGAGAGAAAAGACTGTGTATAGCAGGGATTGAGGAAAGGATAAAAAGTGAACAAAGTTCAAGTCAACAGAAGATTGTAGTTGACACCACATTTAAATTTTTGAAGATATCAGGGAAGTTATCAGGGAAGCAAGTAAGAGGAAGAGAGTTTCACAGTCTGGAAGTGCAAGAAAATGAACTTTTCATTTGTTTCTCTCCCTATACTGCAAGCCTTTATTTTTTTTTCTCTCTTGAACTAGTTTCAACTCTCTTGAAACAGCTTTTGCTATCCCTTTCTCATCAAGTTTGCATCTCCCTTTCTTGTGAGCTTTGTGTCTCTCACTTTTTTGAGCCAGATTTGCATCTTTCCCTCTCTCTTGAGGTAGCTTTGCATCTCCCTTCTTACCTCTCTCTCTCGGGGTAGCTTTGCATCTCTATCCCTCTCTCTCACTTGAGCCAGCTTTGCATCTCTCCTTCTGTCTATCTCTCTCACTCTCTCTGCAGCTTTGCGTCTCCCTCCCTACCACTCTCCCTCTCTCTCTCTCTCTCTCTCTGAAATTTTGCATCTCCCTCCTTCTCTTGCTCTCTTGAGGCAGTATTGTGTATTCCTCCCTCTCTCTCTCACTATCTTTGCAGCTTTGTATCTCTCTCCTTCACGCTTTCTCGAGGCAGCTTTGTGTCTCCCTCCCTGTCTTTCTCAAGGCAGCTTTGCATCTTCTCCCCACCCTCTCAAGGAAGCTTTGCATATCCCTCCCTCTTTTGTGTGCAGCTTTGCATCTGTCTCACTCTCTCCCTCACTCGAGGCAGCTTTGCATCTCCTTTCCTTGCATCTCCCTGCCTCTCTCTCAAGGTAGCTTTGTGTCTCCCTCTCTCAAACTAGCTCACTCTTAGTCTTTCAAACTTGTTTATATATGCTTGCTCAAATTCCATGTAATGTACTTCCTCCTGTTCTATTTAGCCTGCTATTATAATCTGTTTATTACCCTTTTTCCCATTTCTTTGTCCCTCTCAAATCATTCTCTCAAACCTGCTAACTTTTTTTTTCTTGTTCTCTCAAACACATTGATTCTATGTTCATATGCTGAGATATTGATACCTTTCTCTCTTCATGTTAGCATAAACATATGACAATTTTTATTCCCTCGCTCTCTTTATATATATATATATATATATATATATATATATATATAATGATAAAGTGCTCTCTCATCTGCACATGAACACACTTGCTGCTAATCCTGAGTGCAGATTCCAGCAATTATTTGTCTCTGTATTCAGCAATAACAAAAATAACTTATCTATATTAAAATAACACTTCTGAAAGAGTTGAAGCTTTAGAAAAATAATAGTATGGAAATAATCAATTTTCTAAAAGCAGTTTTGTATCATTCAACTGCCAGAGTAATGAATCAGAATTTCTAAGTGCATTTCACCTGACTTAGAAAAGTTTAAAGAACTCTCTTCTTCAAAACTACAACCCTTTTTCTGTGTTTATTTATAAACAACATTTTTTCTTCCATGTCATTTTCAGAAATAGATATTAAATATAATAATAAATCAAAGAATATATTAGAAAATGAATTTAAAATAAAAGGAAATGTTAAGTTTAATTTCTAAATAACAAATATTTTCTATGAGAATATAAACGGTTTAATTATTTTTAAAGATTAATGTATAATGGACCTTTTCTTTTTATTTGCTGAATTAATCTGTTGTAAAACAGTTTTAGTTGTGCAGTTATGGCGCTGAAGCTCAATTCAAGCAAAGATGAAGGCAAGAGCAAATCCTAAATGACAAAACACATTCACAAATGTCTTTTGAAATGCAAATTATGCTCAAGTGGTCATTTTTTAGGAGATATTCTAACCTATCATTTAAATCTATTTAAATCTACTTACAATGTTACGGATTTTTAAAAAATAATGTAACTCTTAAACTTTTTTAAAAATTATTTTGTCTTCATTTGGTCTGAGAGAATACAAACATTCTGTTTTATACTTGCTGAGAGATAAAAAAAAAAAATCATCAAAGCCTCCATAGCTCATACATATTGTTTTGGCAGGTGAGAAAAAATAGCACTAATGCCCATACTCTGTAAAGATTTGAGTTAAATTAACACTTGATAGTTCATTGTATGAAGTACCTTTTGTTTTTATTTGATTTTTATTGATTTTTTTTAGTTTTCAACTCTGTTTAAGGGGAAAATAGCATCATTTTTAAAATGGTTTCATGGATGTTCGTAAGATTTCAACTGAGTTTTTAGGCTACCAGACACAGTACTTCAGCTAATGAAGTCTGGAGATCTATACCATTAAAAGTCAAGAAAAAAAGGGGTTGCTAAACGGTCAATTTGATGTTCTCTGTTTCTTAGCTTAAAAGCCACACTCATTGTTGACTTTTAAGGTAGCTCCTGTGGATGGCTAATTAAGCCTCCAACTCAAAACTAAAGGGTCCAGCTTAGAAAACAGCAATGATAATTTTGAAGAAATAACTTTGAATACCCCAATTCCCTCCATATAACTTCACTTTAACTCTGATTCGGGCTGTAAACACAATTCCAGCCAAAAGACTATTTGGGCTGAAAAGTCTGTTTTGAACTGAAACTCCAAAATTCCAATTCTGAATGAAAATTGAGTTCTTTAAATCACAAAATCCGTGGAACTTCAAAACCTCACGTCAGGAAACTTCTCACTTTATTCTGATTCCTTGACATTTTGAAGAAATAAAATTGATTTCCTCAATTCACAAAGTTTTGGAGATATTTTAAACTGAATTTAAAACAAAAATTTTTTAAAATCCCAAAGTTTTTGTGTTACTTTAAACACAATATGAATTAAAAACTTTGAATTTTTAACTGTTCCCGCCTCATCCAAACACAAATTCCAATGTTCAAGCACCAGATAAAGAACAGATTTTTAATCCTGGGATCATCCTAATTCCCAAAAGTTATAATATATTTATGTAGAGCAAGTGTGGCCTGAGTTAGGTTTCAGACACAGAGACAGACAGAATTTGCCATTTATTTATTTAGACAATTAAAAACAATGAAAGTTTCATAAATATTATGGTATGATTTTACAAGTACTGATGAGTCTTGTCAAATTGCAAAATCATTCTCTGCAGAATGGTACAGTTAACCTTTGAGCATTGTTGAAATAGACACCACCATTAAATCCCAGAAAATGCCAACAAAATTTATAAGCATTCATCTCCTGTTACAATTTTATATTTTTTCTTGAACACTTTTGATGTCTGTTTTTTCTGATTGTAATCATTTTTTTTTTCTCTTACCAACCTCCCTTTAATGTCTGACCATACAAGTGCTCTTGACCTGCTTTAAGCCTAACTTGCAAAACAATTTCTTATACATTTCTGTTGCCAGATGCAAACTCTGCCATTTGGCACTCTTTCTTCTCTGCCACCTGCTAGGAGCTTTATTGCTTTCAGGATTCTTCCTTTGACATTGTCTTTAGCACATTGACTATTTCACTTTATTTTTTTCTCTCTAAGTGAACATTTATTATGGATTCTTTAGCTAATCATGCTGCACATAGTTTTTGTATGCCATGAAATCTGAGCAGGCAGGAATATCTGAATAAAACTTACACATCATTTGAATCCATATTCTCATTTTTGTTTTTATTATGTTTCAACATATGTATTTTGAATCTTCTTTGGGTGTATAATTAATCTGGTTGTTTTTCTCTATCCCAAATTCTTGATCTGAAATCATAGTTTTGCATAACAAACAATATCTTTTGAGAAAAACAACATCTATGCTAATTTTCTGAGCTTATGCATGGGAATTGACATTCTTCAGCCATAGAGAATAAAAGCAGTTGAATGTTTTCTTATATTCAGAGCAACTAGTGGATTGATTATATCTGCAGTAATCTCTGATGTTCAGAGCTAGAATTAACTATTAAAAAAGAAAAAAATAATAAGCAGATGAGAAAGGCTGAAAAATTCTTCAGCCAAAACTTTGATGATAAAAAAAAATGATGGAATTATTGGTCTTTAATAAATTATGGAATATCTGAATAATGATAAATGCTGTTCATTTAACCTGATTAGATTTTAAATCAGTAACTATTTTCACATCAGTTTGTATATTTTTATTAGTTGACTTGTTGCTTTTTTCTTCTCTACTCTGCCTGAAATTAAAATGCAATGCATCTTCCAGGCTGTTTTTTTGGTATTTACAAATGTCAGTAAATTTTTAGAAACTTGACACTTGAGATATCAAACTTTTTCTTGTCTGTTCTTTGCAGAAGATACTGATTTAAAACTATCTTAATTATTTACTTTTATATTTAGTATAAAAAATGCAGATGTCAAAGTTTTTATTGCCAGCTCAACACAAGGCTGCATCTCCATGGATTTTGCACTCCCACTAGGATGGAAAACCTAACAGTTTTATCATGAGCCATTGTTGTGGTACCCTGCTTTTGTGGTAATAAAGTTTCATTCCTGAAACTATGCCTGACTCTCAAATTATTATATGATGAAAACTTTGTTGGAAAAATTTGCTGCTGTTTTGCATGTGTATGTGTGATTTTTCAATATACATGACCTGTTTTGTTTATTTTTGCAAACTTAGTTTGCAAAAATAAAATTAAAAATTAAAATGGTTTTTAATGTTTTTTGACCAACCGTACATTGAAATATTCTTCAAAAGAAAATAATTGAATATAAAAAAAGACTACAAAATATTTGAATTTTCATGCACATAACCTTTCCTGAAATGACCACTCCAGGAATATATCCTTTAAAATGAAAGCATGGGCTGTATTCTCAGAAGGTAGCTAAGCTAAATAATGTTATAGCAAGAATCCTTTTGAGATAAGAGTAGCAGATTGTTGAGGCAGAGAGATCTGAGGAATTAGTCAGATTGGAATTGAATGTCTTTCTCTTATCTACCAAAGTCATGACACTAAAAAAGTGATTCTGTTGCTAGAAATATTTAACCTTTAACCTTTCCTAAGTAATAATAGGTTTGTGCTGGTTGTTACCTGATTAAAATCTATGACCCATAATGAAGTATTCCTCCACCTTATAGGCACAAAAACACACACACACACCTGACTCCTTTGCTTTAATTTGTATTATTTGGACCATTGAAAGAATTTTCTTGTTGGCTGTTGAAGAAATTTGATAGTTTTTCATATAACTTTGAAAGTAATAACTGAGAACTAAGCACTTTGAAGAGAAAGAAACCAAGTTTTAAGGACACTTGAAATCATTCCATGTTTAGTCTTCAACTAAAAATATGCTTCATATTTTAATACAAATGTTATTAAGATGAAATGAATAATAGTTATTTTGTAAATGTCAAAAATGTCATCTGAAAAAGAAGTATTTTTTTAAATAATAATTTTCCTGCTTGTTGTCTTGTTTAAACTCATCTGATGTTCCTTCAGACCCTCCCCACCTACTCTCACTGCTCATTAACATTGTTTTTTTTTTGTTTTTTTTTTCTTCAGTTTTAATATTTGTATTCATTTTTATTTAATAGTGAAATTTACAATCAGTTTTGATAAGGAGTAAAAACTTTCACCTCTCATAAACTTTGGTTGACTTCAAATGAGAAAAAATTAAAATAATACCATAATTGTATATTTTTATTTATCTACTTCAAGTAGGATCTTTGCACTTCCACATAAATAGAATATTTGTCATGAAAAACAATTTGAAGAAGTTACTTGCTGCCTAATTGTAGGATTCTTTATTCACTGTGAATTAATTTTCTGCACTAGAAAAGAGAACCAAAAACATTGTTTCCTCTTTAGGTAAATGTGTCTATTTACAAAGTTTTGTGAAGGAGATGGCTGAAAAGTCTCCAGTCCAATATACT